AATCCTCTGCCTTTGAGCTGGGTGGTCTGGGACAAATAACTAACACTCTCTGGGTCTGTTTTCCAGTTTGTGAAATGGAGAGAGAACACCTAGCTCATGGGGTTACTGTAAGGACTGACTGAGACAGGACAGGTAAGCATATGATCCATGACAGGTACTCGGTGTTCCTTAAGAACTCTTCCCTTAGCCCCAGAGTTCTCCACCGACACCCCAAATCTCTCGCTTTCTTGGGAATTTACCCCTCCGACCCAAACTCAAACTTGGAGTAAACCCAAACCCTAGTTTTCTGCCCTCACTGGGGCCCTGATACCCCCCCCCCCCAATCTGGTGCTCATTCACTCTCTGCCGGGCTGGGACCCCCCAGGCGCTGATGTGCCTCTGCCGCAAAAAAAAAAAAAAAAAAAAAAAAAAAAAAAAAAAAAAAAAAAAAAACCGCAAAATCTCCACCAAGCCTCCTTTATTGACAGTAACAATGCCTAGCCCACCTACATGGGAAAAATGCTGTCATGAGGCTTGATGAGATCATTATTCGTGAAAATCACAGATACCTGGATCAGGTATTACCAGTATATTCTCAGTGCCCCCTTTCCCAAATACTCTGATACATCAATCCAAATTGACCTTAGACATAATCTGCTGCAGCACCTTGTTTTATAGATTAATCGTGTGATTCTTTTTTTTATTTAAAATTTTTTTATGTTTAATTTTGAGAGAGAGACAGAGAGCTAGTGGGGGAGAGGCAGAGAGAGGGAGACACAGAATCCCAAGCAGGCTCCAGGCTCCGAGCTGTCAGCACAGAGCCCGACACAGGGCTCAAACTCACAACCCTTGAGATCATGACCTGAGGCGAAGTCTCAGAGAAAACCGAGGCCTGGGGACACACAAGGCATGTTCTCTGCACCGCCAGCTGAAACCCCCGAGCCCCAACTTCAGTCCAAAGGCCCATTTTGCTATGATAGACACATTGCCACTTTTCTATCCGTCCCCTTGAGTCAGACACCACACTCTGACTCTGGGTATTTCATGCCACCCCCATTTGTGCAGGGTCTCACCCAAATGAATCCCACAACAAGGCTACAACGTTCACCCAAATATCCTATAGGCACAATGACCTTCACTATACCCCATCCAGGCCCAAGGTCCTCCATCTACTGAGGTTGCTAGAAACGCAGGGAGACTGGAGGGTGAGGTCCTAGGTCTTTGTGACTTGGAATCAGAGCTCCTGGTTCCCTCTCCCCATGATCTTCCAGCTGACCTCACACCTTAGACTCCACACTCCCTGGCTCTCCCTGGCCTCCCCTTTTTGATCCCAAGAGTAGGACATCTGTAGATGACAGTGGAGCTCAGATGCCTCCCACCTCTCTCTGGCTGACTTCACTCCACCCCATCCTCCAGCTTCTGAAGAAAAAAGTGCTTACCATATATGAAGCATTCAATAAGTGGTAGCAATGTTAAGAGTTGCACAATTAGTCGCGCCTGAGTGGCTCAGTCCGTCAAACACTGACTTCAGCTCAGGTCATGATTTCACGGTTTGTGAGTTCGAGCCCCACGTTGGGCTCTGTGCTGACAGCTCAGAGCCTGGAGCCTGCTTCAGATTCTGTGTCTCCCTCTCTCTCTGCCTCTCCCCTGCTAGCTCTCTGTCTCTCCCTCAAAAATAAACACAAAAATTTTTTAATAAAAAAAAAGAGTTGCACAATTAATACTATTCACAATTAATAACTTTAATGTCCTAATTTTTAGTGTTACAAGGAATTTTTAATAGTCTGTGTCAGTTGTCAAAGCCATTATATGTAGCCTGGTGCAAAGAGAGTTTCTTTCATTGTTTAGGATAAATGTGTATTTACTTTAAATTTTGAAAAATATGATATTAATTTGTTCAATAAATTATGTTTTTAAAAAAATGGTTTGGGGAACCTGGGTGGCTCAGTCAGTGCAGCAACTGACTTCGGCTCAGGTCATGATCTCATGGCTTGTGAGTTAGAGCCCCGATGGCCCTGTGTTGGCCTCTGTGCTGACAGCTCAGAGCCTGGAGCCTGCTTCAGATTCTGTCTCTTCCTCTCTCTCTCTGCCCCTCCCCTGCTCGTTGTCTGTCTTTCTCTGTCTCTCAAAAATAAATAAACGTTGAAACAAATAGTGAGGGATGGATGCTTGTAAGAACATGAAGGGCTGGGGTGCCTGGCTGGCTCGGTAGGAAGAGGATGCAAATCTTGATCTCCAGGTCAGGAGTTCAAGTCCTACCATGGGTATAGAGATTACTACAAAAATAAATAAAAACTTAAAAAAAAAAAAAAAGGATTATGAAAGGCTAACTAATCTCATGGAGGAGGTGAGAATGTAGCCATAATCCTTCCAGGGCAAAAAAGAAATAATGGAGGGAGAGAATGGAGAGATGGGGAAATAGCAGAGGGGCGACTAGGGGATGATGGAATTGGCCGTTATGGCTTGTAGAGCAATGGATGAAGACAGAAGAGCAGAGACCCCTCCCCATCACATGTCGCACACACCCCCACAGCAGCACAGAGTGATCGCAAAGGCACTGGATTCCAATTCAAGGTGACGTGGGTTCTAGCCCCAGCCCTGCCATCCAACTCCATGTGTGGCACGGAGACATGGTGGGTCATAGCAGGAGACCTGGCTCCAAGCTGGGTCTGTAAGAATCATGAGCTTGGGCAAGTCACTTCACCTGCTAACCTGCCCTAGACGGAAAAGGAGGCAACCTAAAGCCTTTCTTCTCTGACACCAATTCTAACTCCTAAACCATGGGGTCCACCGGTACGTACAGATAGGGCATGGAGATAAGGAAACTCCAGCATGGTTAGTAGGGGTGGGTGGTGGGGGTAGAGGAACTGATTGCCATCATCCATAATGAAGTCTGCCAGAGGAGAGGGGCTGGGCCCGGGGAGGGGCAAGGCCCAGGCTGGGCTGCGGCAGAAAGCAGACGAGGGCTCAGAGGAGGACACCACTGGACACCAATGGTGGTTGTGACACCACCATTTCCCCCCATCAGTTTGAGTTCAGGAAAGGGAAGTCAGAAGTCCTCACGTCAGTTCCTGATCACAACCTTTCTTACCTCTCCACTCCCTTCACCATCTCCCCCTCTTTCCCCAAGGTTCCCATGGCCCCCAGGACAGGGAGATTGTAACTGAGAGGGGTAAGACCAAGGCAGCAAGGGAAGTGTCCCCAAAGATGACGAGGAATAGTAACTTCCGGATGCCAGGTCTGATGCTAGAGAAAGGAACCAGGGTTCCCAAAACTGGGGTTCAACTCACACACCCCTCAGTTTATCCTTTATTAAAAGCGGTGTGGCGGGGGGGGGGGATTGCTGTTGCTGCTGCTCTCTCTGCAATGATGAGAGAATACAGCATAGCAGGCTTTGAAGTTCCAGAAGAAACTGGCCCGAGTCTCATCCTCCCACACCACCCCCACTACCGGACAGTTGATGGGGAGGTGGGCAGGTGAGGGCTTTATCTTACAGCTGCATGGAAGGTGGCACTCAGTGATCACAGAGGAAGATTACTGATGACAGTAAGTAAAGTTGGGGAGGACAAGAAAGTCCAGACAGTGGACGATGGTAAGTCATCCCAAGCATTGCCCAGTAGGTCTCCCAAGGAGAGCAGCACCATGACTTCGCTCTTGCACCCTAACCTGGTGATGGGCACCTAGCACGTGCTCAGCAACGCCCATGGAGGAGCTGGCAGCAAAGTTTGTCTCTGCCAATGCCCCTGAAGAATGGACCCTTCCATAGTGAAGCCAAGGGGTATGGAAGTCTGGGGCCCAGGGACTTGCATCCACTCCCTACCCCCATACAGCCCTCCAGACATTCCTTATGCAACATACATTTGTTGAGCACCTGCCTACTTGCTCCAAGCGGGACACTGGGCTAGACCCTGAGGATACATAAATGAACAAGATTCATTCCCTGACCACAAGGAGCTCACAGCCTAGCTGGGGAGGCAGACACAAGTGAACGAGAAGGTATGATGCAACATCAGCACCCCAAGAGACGTTATGCTATGCTATGGGAGGCCAGGGGAGAGGGAAGTGAGCAAATCTGGGGCAGACAAGAAAGGGCAGAAGGCTTCACAGAAGTAGAGGTGTCTGAGTAGGGTTCTAAGGGATACACAGGAGTTCTCCAGATGGTGTGGAAAGCTTCCAGGCCGAGGAAATAGCTTGAGCAAATATGTAGAGGTATGAAAGACACAGAGGCATTGGGGTACGGCTCCGTGGGGGCACAGGCTAGATGGGGCTGGAAAAGGCCTGGAGCCAACTAGGAATGGCTAAGCCTTGACTACATTGGTCTGCTCCGGCCCCTGCCCTAGGAAGGGGAATTGCCCAAGAACGAACAAAGGGGGCTTTTGGGTGGGGTTCCCCACTCAAGTTCAAGAAGAGGATCAAATGTCTGTGTCACTGGAAAGCAGTGTGGCCAGGCCCGGGGTTGGCTTCAGTCATCTTTGGGTAGGAAACCTGTGCATGCCTTTGTGTGCCCTTGCTTGTGTTTTGTTTCCGGTCGCCAGTGGTTTCCTAGGAAGGTTCCTTGTCTAAGCTCCAAGTTTGGCTTGGCTGATCCCAGGGAAAAGGAGACTTGTTTGCACTTGGGTAGGGAAATCAGAGTCTTCTAGAGGCAGGACCAGAGGGCACAGGACAGAAGCCAGGGCAATTATGGGCAGGTTCCCTGGCCCCCGTTTCCTGGGCAATTTCTTTTTTTTTTTTTTTTTTTTTTTTTTAACGTTTATTTTTATTTTTGAGACAGAGAGAGACAGAGCATGAACAGGGGAGGGTCAGAGAGAGAGGGAGACACAGAATCTGAAACAGGGTCCAGGCTCTGAGCTGTCAGCACAGAGCCCGACGCGGGGCTCGAACTCACGGACCGCGAGATCGTGACCTGAGCCGAAGTCGGCCGCTCAACCGACTGAGCCACCCAGGCGCCCCTCCTGGGCAATTTCTGTAGCCCCTTATCCACCCTGCTTCCCTCCCCCACACCAAAGGCAGTTAGGCAGCTCTGAGAGGAAGTCCCAAGACATTCTTTAATCCTGCCAAGCCTGCTCCCCTCCCACCAGGGGAAGCGCCTGCCTTGGGAGGGGAGGGCACTTTCCTTCCCTCTCAATGCTCCCCCAGAGTATAGGCAGAGGAGCTGGCCTCCACCAAGTTGGATGGAGATGGGCAGGGACCCAGAGTGGCATAGGCAGGCGGAGGGGCCATCAAGGCCGGGGAGGTAGCAGGGTCTGGTGGGGATGTGGAGTGGGGGCAGAAATGGGACGGGAGGGAGGAAGCTGGAGTGGAGGCCACTTCCTGGGCACCCCTGCCCCCTCGGCCTGGAGACCAGTATCGGCTTCGGAACCTCCGGAGCAGCATGAGGAACGTGATGACCAGGAGGTCAAAGATGAGTTCAGCCATCTCCACCACAGACAGCACCGAGGAGCCGAACCACAGGCTCCACTGGCTGCCCAGTTTGGACAGGAGAGTGGCCATCTGTGAGGGAGAAAGGCACATTGATCACTGGGGCAGAGGGCCCTGGGTGGGCTCTAGAAGAAGAGCCCCATCCCTCCCTCCCTGAGGTCCTCCCTCACCCCTTTCAGCCTCCTGGTGGTCCCCTGGACCCCTTCTGTCCTAGTCATACCCATCTGGCGCATCCTTCCCCCCCTCCACCACCACACCCAAAGACTTCATTCCCCAGCCAAGCTCCCCTTCTTCCAACCTCTGCAACCTCACCTTCGCCCCCACCTTTCCTTGGTCCCCTGCCCTCAAGGCCCAGACCTTCCGGCCCCACAGAGGCACCCCCTTGTTTTCTCTGACAGACACCCACCAATACCTCCAAGAGAACTGCAAGGACATACCGTGACAGAGGGAGACTCAGAATTGGTTTTGTAGTTCAGTTCCTTGAAGAAGATGTTGAGTTTGGCGACCCCATTTCTTTGGAGTCAGGGAGAAGGGAGGGAGAAATGGCAATGGGTTCACTTCTCAAACCCTTACAAACACCCTCCTCTCTTCCCAGATCAGTTTTCCCTCCCAAGGATTCGTCCCCCTCAGCTGGATCAGGGTAGAACTGACCTTTTGTTGTTGATAGTATAATTGTTCTGTCGGGATAGCATCTGGAAGATCCAGTCCTAGAAAAGAATGGGGTGTCAATGGGGTCACCCCATACTCTTCAGGCTTACAGGGTGGGGGGTGGGATCAAACACATCCATACACACACATACACCCAGAAAAGACCACAGTATTACACACACACACACACACACACACACACACACATCCCCTCTCCCTCGTATCCCTCCCCTTCCCCACATTACCTGGGATGTCACTGAGGGCCATCGTGAGTAACCAGCAGAGAGCTGGTAGCTGGTCACACTGGGGATGGAGAAAGGAGCTCAGTGATGGGGGTGGGGTTCTCCCACCCAGCCAAGTGGCTAGCTGCCCAACCTGTGCCCCAGGGGAAGGGGACACTCACCTGCACGGCTTCCGGCACTTGGTGAAACACCCCAGGCGGTCTGAGGAAAAGGCATCCTGGAGCTTATAGTAACAGTAACCTGTGGGTGCAGAGAGATGCCCATTTCCCTAGGGCACCTCAACCTTCTGCACCCCGAACCCAAGAGGTCTCCCAAGATATGTGGGTTCCCACATCACAAGTAGCATTACAGTGATGTCTCCTGAGTGGCAACACCAAAAATGTTGAAAAAATGAAGCTACGTAAGGAAAAAAACCAAAAAACAAAAAACAACCCAGGACTCATCTATGTAAAGATGAGTAGGATATGGACAAAATTCTAAAATTCAAAAAGAGGGGTGCCTGGGTGGCTCAGTCACCTGAACATCTAGCTCACTGATTGATGGCTCGGGGTCATGGGACTGAACCCTGTTTAGGATTCTCCCTCTCTCTCTCCCTCTGCCCCTCTCCCCTACTCATACTCTCTCCCTCACGCTCTTTCTCTCTCTCTCTCTCTCTTTCTCTCTCTAAAATAAAAGTCAAAAGGAAAACTGGGAACAATTGTTATGGAAGAATCATGAGATTAAACCACAATGAGATGCACTTCACATCCACCAGGATGGCTATTAAAAATAAATAAGTAAGTATTGGTGAGGATGTGGAGAAACTAGAATGCTCCTCTATTGCTCCTGGGAACATAAAATGGTGTGGCCACTTTGGAAGAGTCTGGCAGTTCCTCAAAATGTTGAGCACAGAGTTATGATATGACCCAGAAACTCCACTCCTAGGTATATACCCAAGAGAACTGAAAACATATGTTCACACACAAAATGGAAACAGGAAATAGAAACAACCCAAATGTCCATCCACTGATGAATGGACAAACACACGTGACGAATCTGTACAATGGAACATTATTCAGCCATAAAAACAAAGTACTGACAGATGCTACAAGCTGGATGAACTTTGAAAATGGTGTGCTAAAAAAAAGAAAAAAGAAAAGAAGAAGAAAATGCTGTGCTAAATACAAGAAGCCAGTCACAAAGGACCACAGATGATTCTATTTATATGAAATGCTCAGGACAGGCAAATCTGTAGAGACAGAAAGTAGATTAGTAGTTTCTGGGGGTGAGGTGGGGGGCTGTGGGTGCAGAGGATGGGAAGCTCAGAGAGTGCTGATGGGTAAGAAGTTTCTTTGTGGAGTGATGGAAATGTTCTAAAGTTGACCGGCCACTACTGTACAGCTCCGTGATTATACTGAAGACTAAAACTATACTAAAATCAAATGGGTGAATTACTTGGGATAGAAATTATCTCAATTGAGTTGCTACCTAAAAAAAAGGGGGGGTGGGGAGAATGAGTCTATGGATCTCCCTTCTCCCCTATTCGCCAAGTTCTAAGTAAGTATGTTCTATTGTGTCATTCTTGCTACTTTTAGTTGCCTGGTCCAGAAGTCCTTCTCCATTTCTGACCCAAATCCCTCCATCTATGAGGGCTGGGGGTCTGGAACGGTGAAGCATGGGGAGCAGCTGGGTCCCTTCCTCTGGGGAGTAAACAGTCCTTGGGAGACTGTTCCTCTCCCCATCCCCACGGCTTCTCAGCCATCAGCATTGTTATTTTTCCTCTCACAGATCCTCAAACTCACAAGCACTTAGAAATCATTGTTTGGGGGCAGCGGGGAGCAGGGGGCAGGGAGTCCCTGCTCTGCACATCCTCCTCGTTCTCGGACATGACATCACGACTTCCCCCTGGGCCCCTGAGTGTCCCTCCAGCTCTGATGTGCTCTGACATAAGGTGGGAGAGATGGGAACCAAATGCAGGGCAGGGGAGAGAGCTGTGTGGAGCAGACCCAGGGAAGGGAGGAGGCAGGAAGATCCACAGGGACAGAACCAAGAGAGGCAGACACTATAACCCCTGGGGTCTGTCCCATCCCCTCAGAGGTGTGGAGGTTCATCTCCTCCAACAGTGGCCACCAGCAGAGGGAGAGCTGGGGCCAAGGGAACCAGACAGGAGGACCCTCAGGTCACAGGCGTCAGTTGAGAGCCTGTGCACCAGGATTTCTAACCCTCTACTTTCCAGTTTCTTGTTTGGGATTTCCTTTCTCTCAGCTTCCTACCACAGAGCCTCCATGGGGCATAACTCCGCTATAGTGGAAAGGAACAGGGATCTGTCTACTCCTAATCCAGGATTAAAAAGGAGATCTCAGGGGCGCCTGGGTGGCTCAGTCAGTTAAGCATCCGTCTTCAGCTCAGGTCATGATCTCACAGTTCGTGAGTTCGAGCCCCGCGTAGGGCTCTGTGCTGACAGCTCAGAGCCTGGAGCCTCCTTCACATTCTGTGTCTCCCTCTCTCTCTGCCCTTTCCCTGCTCATGCTGTGTCTCTCTCTGTCTCAAAAATAAATTAACATTAAAAAAAAAGGAGATCTCAGTGCTCTCCAAACTTTTTTTGATTGTGCCCACCTGTAGGTAAAAAGGTCTTAAGTAACTCCAACATATGTATTTGATTTATAAATTACAAACTTGCTACTATAGAATTGATCCATTAAGTACATTATAAAACATATATAAAATGGAAGATGTTAGGGAATGAGGTAGATACATCTAACTTCTAGTATTTTCTTCCTGCACCTGGTGAGCTGTCCTGTGCCTCGCCCGGCACCGGAAGGGTGAGACAGGGAAGCTACAGGCAGAGTGTGGAGCGAGCGAGGTTTCCTTCACGTGCTCCTCCTTCCTTCTGCTGCAGGTGATTTTTAAAGGGGGCCCTTCTCTATAAACACACAGAAGCCAAAACCCAGAGAGAGAAGCCCGAGGGAGGAAGGGGATAGAGGGGAGAGGTGGAGTGACAGGAAACAGAGGGGCTGGAGCGCAGGACAGAGGGAGAATGAGGGTCACAGAGGGTCTGAGAGGGAAGTCTGTGAGAGTCCTGGGGCAGAGGGGCCGGCCAGGGGCTCCCTGTGGTCTCACCCCAGGAATTATGCTTCCTGTAGTCACAGAACTCTGCGTTCTTGGGCAACGGATAGAAGATGTAGGCACAGCCACACTCCTTGATCATGCTGTCCTGGAAGCAGGAGTGGATACACACCTGGGGGACACAGGAGTGACAGGAAAGGGGGTTCAGGCCTGCTCTCCCCACACACAGCCCAAAAGAGGCAGGAAAGGGGAGGACAAACAATGCTCTTCACCATACTTGTACCCCTCTCTCCACCTGTCCCGTTCGCTCACACACACACACACACACACACACACACCCCTCCAACTTGGACTGACCAACAGGGCAGGCCTGGGAGATGGTCGCCATAGAAATGGGCTGGTCTCACCTGCTGTGTATACTTGGTAAGATAAAGGTTCTCCACGGGGACTTCACTGCCATTCTTGGTACAGTCACCATAGTCGCCCCCAAGTCTGTCCAGGGCTTCCTGCAAACCCCCACACACAAAGAAATCAGAGGTCAGAAGTCAAAGCAAATGGCCCAGACCTCTTCCTGAATTCTCCACCTTCCCTCAGGTCCAGGCCATTTGTATCTCGCACCTACCAGCCTCTCCTGTCTGCCTCACGGTTTCAAAACGCACCCAGCAGCCCCCAACGCCCATCTGGGTGCTACTTTCAAGGACACTGGCTCCAGAGCACCCCCGGAACCCTAAGCACATCCTGAACCCTTCTCAGCACACTCACCCAAGGTTCCTCCTCAGATCCCTACTTCTGCCAGCCCCTCGCCCCTAACTCTGCTTCTGAAGACGGCCACCTGCCTCAGGCCCACCGCACACGATCTCCCTCTATAGTCTTCTGGCTGGTGAGTCACCTCCCCTGCCATCTTCCCGGCCCTCTCTTGCCTTCCTCATACTGATGGAGGTCTCCACACCAGGCCTCAAGTTAAAGCCGCCATCGTCCATGAAGGCAGGCTCATCCTGCCCATGCACCATCACCCTGGCCCCGGTCACTGTGGACAGCAGCGGGATGAAGTCATTCTGCTCTGTGCGCAGCGTCAGGGACAGACCTAGGGGTGCAGAGGGAGTGGAGTGGGGGAGGTCCTGGAGGAGTGTTGGGGGATGGAAAGCCCCTTCCACGCGCCTAGTTTCTAATGCTCCACAGAGGGCAAGGCCAAGAAGACCTACATAGGGATTTGGCAGCCCCCGGGCTGGATTCAGGGGTGGGCATGAAGAACTGGGACAAGATTCCTATAACACCTGGAAAGGACTTTGTGGTACCCATGGGGGACAAAGAACAGAGAGGACTCCTTCCAGGATGCAGACGGGCACGTTGTGGGGAGGCCCAGAGGCACACAGCATGTCTAGGACATGAGCACAAGGTGGGTAACTGTGGGTGGGCAGGGCCGTGAGAAGTGCTGAGGCACAGGGATTGCGGAAATGAGGACTTGCTCACCATTTTTGATCCCAGGCATGGAAGACATCCAGAGGTTAGAGTTGTTCTTGCCATTGAAAGTGTAGCAGTTCCCATATATCGGGTGGTGAAAGTGGGAGTAATTCCTATCCGGGAGAGAGAAAAAGTAGAGTCAAAAAAGAAAGTTGGGGGGTGGGTGGGTCAGAGAGAGCGGGACTTTCAGTGACCTTTGTTTCCTGATCACCTACTATGTGCTAGAAGCTTTCCCCATGTTCCCTCAGCCACTCCAACCAACAACCAACAACCATCATCCCCACGTCACAGAAGAGGAAGCTAGGGCTCAGAGAGGTCAAGTAGCTGTCCAAGGTCACACCGTGATGACAAACTTGAGACTCAAACACACATCTACCTTCTAATGCAGTCTCCTCCCCACCAGGCCACCTGACCTCACTGGCCTTGTGACCTCTCTTGTGTCACTCTGTTGCATTACAAAGACTTTGGCAGTGTCCCTAGCTTCTCGTGAATCTAAATCTTAGTTCCCCATTTGGACTGTGATCTCCTTGAGGACAAGGGTCACATCTCCTTCGTCTCTGTATCATCTCTGGGTTAACTGAATAGTTCTTGACCTACAGGCCCTACAGAAGATCATTAATAAACAGTGGTCGAATGAATAAAGTGGAGAAATGGAAGGGAACAGAGTTAGGGGAGACAGTGAGAGCAGTGGTGAACACAGAGCTGAGCGGAGGAAGGTCAGATCCCAGGACAGATATGAGAGGGAGAGGGTTCTGGTGGGATGGCCTTGAGCAAGTCATTTTTTCTAAGCTTACTCTCATCTGTAAAACGAGGAGGCTGGAACTGGATGATCTGGAATATTCCACTGGCCTTGAAGAACAAAGGCCTAGAGATATGAAATACTGGTGCACATTCTAGGAAGTGCTAGGAAGCCAGCATTTCCAGAGCTAAGGCAGGATTCAGGGAGGGAGGAAAGAAGAGGCTATGGAAGTGAACAGAGGCCAGTCCTGAAGGGCCTGTAAGCCCAGCTCAGGGGGAGAGGGGACAGCCAGGTACGATGTGATGGACACACACCATGGACGGTATGCAGCAGGTGGAATCAACCGATTAGATGGAACAACATGGATGGATCTTAAAAACAGAACTTAGGAAAACAAGAGGGCAAATGAGACATGACCACTTATATATCCATAGGAGAATATATGAGAAGCAATATAACGTGAGGGTTAAGAGCACAGACTCCAGAACTAAACTATCCATATTTGAACCCTAGCTTTAACAAGTATTAGCTGTGGGACCAACCACGTTACTTAATCTCTCCATGCTGTAGTTTCCCCATCTGTAAAATGGGGATAAGAACAGGACTTGCCTCACAGGGGTGCTGTGAGGTTGAAATTACACTTGGAAGGTGCCTAGCACTTAGTAAGAGCTGTATACATTTGCTCTTAAGGTTACAAGCATCCGTTAAGGTGGCTAAAGTGAAAAAGACAGTAGGGGCGCCTGGGTGGCTCAGTTGGCTGAGCATCCAACTTCAGCTCAGGTCACGATCTTGCAGTTCGTGAGTTCAAGCCCCGCGTCGGGCTCTGGTGCTGACAGCTCAGAGCCTGGAGCCTGCTTCAGATTCTGTGTCCCCCTTTCTCTCCGCCCCACCCCTGCTTGTGCTCTGTCTCTGTCTTTCAAAAATGAATAAACATTAAAAAAAAAAAAAAGTAACAAGCGGAGGGTGGGGAGAATTTAGAACCCTCATATACCGCCCGGGGAATGTAAATAGCACGGCCACTTGGAAAACCGTCTGAGAGTTGCTCAAAATATAGAATTACCACATGACCTAGGAATTCCACTCCTGGGTATATACATAAGAGAAATAAAAACATACATCCCTACAAAAACTGGTACGGGAATATTCTCAACAACATTACTCGTAATAGCCAAGAAGTGGAAACAACCCAAATGTCTATCAACTGACGAACAGATAAATCAAAGGTGGGATATCCACACAATGGAATATTATCCAACCATAAAAAGAATGAAGTTCTGGCACATGTTGCAACATGGATGAGCGTTGAAAACATGATGCTAAGTGAAAGAAGTCGGGAACAAAGGCCGCATAGTGTAGGATTCCATTTCTACGAAGCGCCCGCGATAGGCAATCCGCGTAGATGGACACTAGATTCCTGGTTTCCAGGGCTGGGAGGAGGGGAGGGAATCGGGAGTGACCGCTAGGAGGTGTAGGGTTTCTTTTGGGGGTGAGGAAAATGTCCTAAAATTAGATAGGGCTTGCATAATTCTGTGAATATGTAAAAAAAATCACTGAATGGTATACATGTAAAGGATGACTTTTGTGGTGTGGGAACTGTATCTCAATCAAGCTGTCACTGGAGAAAAGATTACAGAGAGAAGGAGAAAGGATGACATGGGGAGGAGAGGGATGAGAAAGCCACGATAAGGAGCTTCACCTCGGTTCTGGAGGCCACAGGAGACAGTGGAGGATTTTGAGCAGGACCAACTGGAAGAGTTGCAGAATAATGAGAGGCTTTGGCGGCAGAAAGATAATGGGAGGTGAAGGGATTATAATAACCCAGGTGAGAAATGATGAGGCTCTGAGCTAAGGAAGTGACCTAACCGTCAAGACTGAGATGAACTACGGACTTTCCGTTGATGGGGAGGTAGGAGCATGGGGCTGGCAGAGCAAGAGGACTGGGGGGAAGGTGACAATTAGAGACACCCAGTGGCAGGGTGAGATGACTGGGGCCCAGGCCCTGCTACTGTCTCATTTCCCGGCAGGCAGCTCCTGTCTTCAAACAAACAAGAAGATTGGAGACAACAACAAAATCCTATGCTGAGCAGAGTGTGTGCACCAGGTGAGGGTGGGGCAGAAGCAGGTGACACCTGGCCCTGCTGCCATTCTGCAGCGATGGGAGCGGGAAGGGCCCCTAGAGAGTGGAGAGGCTGCCTCAGCACCCTGCCCGAAAAAGGTGAAAACCAAGGAGAAGTAGGAGGGGAAGGGTGGGGTAGGAGGGGCCAGAGGCTACAGCCTCAGAGAACTGCCCAGCTGCCATGACCTCTTTGCAAGGACATTGTGACTGGATCTATAGCAGAGGGAATGCCTGGCAGGCAGTGCAGTTGAGTGGGAAGGATCCTTAGCTAGCTAGGGCTGGCCTGGTGGCCTAGGGCAAGTCACATTCACCTGTTCCGTTCACGAGCAACAGAGACCCATTTTTCACTGCAGTTTGCAAAATGCCCTCCCGCGTATCTCATGAACGTGGAGACGGGTGTTATCAACATCTTCATCACTTGAGCAAAAGTGCCAGAAGGGCACGGATTATATACATTGCCCTGTTTGATGTGTCCCAAATGCCTGAAACAATGACTGGCACACAGCCCAGACAGTAAAAAGTATTTGTCTGAATACACAATGAATGAGTCTCATTTTCCCCGCATTTTACACAGAAACAGTCTCTGAAGAGTGATGTGAAATGCCCAGAGTCACCTGGCCGGAAAGTTACAGAGCCAGAGCAGTGACTCAGGTCCCCTCCTTCATTCAACCCATGCTATTTCCTCCAAACCACTGCTGTCCACCTCATCTGAGAAGATGACCTTCCGGGCACCTGTGAGTTTGGTGCTCGTCACAGAGGGGCCTTCGAAAGATGGAGAACCATGCTTCCAGCCATTGGATTCTCAAAGCCAGACCTCAACTACAGCCTTCCCAGGGCAGCATATTAGGCTGCCTCACTCAGACCCAGCCCTGCAGGATAATCCATGGGGCAGAAGTTTAGACCTGAGGAGGTCCCCTCCTCCCTGCAGGCATATATTTAGCCCAAAGGCCTTTCCTGGGTGCTGCCCATCTGAGCCTCAGGCTGACTTCAGAAAGAAGACTCCGTGGAGAGCACAGAGCCAAGCAGGAGGGACTCACGCCTGATTGCAGGAGGCCTGGTTGAAGCGACAGGCAAAGATGAAGTTGTCCAGCATGTCCTCCTCTGAGGATGGAGAAGTGTCCCGCAGTCGAGAAAGAATGTTGATGTAGTGGAAACGGTACCACTCCCTCACTGCATCCACCCCTGACGAGTACGTCTGGTAAAAGCAGTCCGATTTGTTCCGGTTGCACTAAACACAGAGAGCATCAGAGGATCAGCAGCAGGGGACAGGCGGCAGGGCAGGCTAACGTCAAAGAATGAGTGGTCTGAGGTCCTGAGGACTGGGGTGGGGAGCCAAGAGTGCAGAAGAACAGAAGGCAGAAGTTGAAGCCCGTAAGAGAGTGGACCAGGAGAGCCTAGGCTTAAGGGAGCAGTCGGCCAAGGAGACCAGGAGCTGTGGTCCCAAGTGTGGGTCATTTATACAGCCTCTGCAAGACGGTGGAGCAAGGATTCATCTCCCCACTTTACTGATGGGAAGACGGAGGAATCCAGAGGCTTGCCCTAGCGACTGAGCTAGGACTGGAACTCAGGTCTCCTGGTTGTGCGGTCCACTCTCCCCAAAGGGGGCCTCTCTTCTTCCCTCTGCTCCTCTCCCGCTTCCACTTACTCTCCCTTTTATTTTTTATTAAAACAATTTTTTTAAGTCTCTCATTTTACTGATTCCTTATTCTCTATCTCAGGCAGGCAGAGCCCCAGTTCCCTGCCATACAGGAGGGTCCCAAGGGAGTCCCGACCAGTGGGGGGCTGACGATTCAGAAAGGTGCTTTTTCCGCCACAGATTTGACTTCCAGACGTTTAAACCCTCCCACAGAGGTCCCAGCGAGGAGACCCCCACCAGCTGGCGTTCCGAGAGATGTTATTTAGTTATGTATTTTGCCAGCAGGCAGACGAGGTTCTTCCTCCCGTCGCTAGGCAACAAAGGCGGGGTCCGGAAAGGGAGTGCTGTCGGGGAGTGGGCAGAACCGGAGGGTCCGGGCAACCAGGAGGGGCGGGACCCGAAGGCCGGGGGCGGGACCCGAAGGCCGGGGGCGGGGCCCCGGGGGCGGGGCTTACCAACTGGAAGCCGACCTTCCAGTCCTTCCTGTTCACTTGGGGGTTATTGTCCCGCACGCTGGAGGCGGCGCTGCGGACTCCGCGGGCCCCGGGGGGCGGGGCCGGGGACCACAGGCGCTGCAGGAGGTGCGGCCAGGGCTCCCGCAAGTCGCGACGACCGCGGGGGTGGGTCCCCAGGGTGCTGGAGGAGTTGTATTTGTACAGGTCGTAGAGCGTCTGCTCTGTGATGCGGTCCAGCTCCTCCAGCTCCTCTTTAATTTGCGTGTACCTGGAAGGGGCGATGGGAAGAGGGTCGGATTTGGGGGGCGGCTTCGCGCTAGTCCCTGGCCCTTCAGGGCCTCGGTTTCCTCGCCAGAAACTGGTGAGGTCGGTCCATCCTGGAAAAGCCTGCAGGGAATAACTCTGGTGTCTCCAAGGCTCTCTCGGAGGGATGGGGACGTGAGGGTGTAGACTGGTTTTCCACGGGGTTAGTGGAGGCGACTATGAGCCCCGGCGGTGACGGCATTTATTACGGCCTGTTTATCAGAAGGGAGAGGCGGAGGCTCCTGTCGGTGAGGCCCTCTCCTCCCACTCGTCCTGGCCGCGAAGGGAACCCGGAACTCGTCTGCCCTTTTCCAAGACGGGAGAGGGTGTGGCCGCGGCCTTCGCCCACAAGCTCCCTCAGACCCAGGGAGCAGGTCAACCCACCCTGGCCTCCTCCGGCAAGGGTGGCCTTTGGCTCTGTCTGCCGCCTGGCACCTTCTAAATTAGAGATACTTAACTGCACTTCTAGAATTTCCCCAGGAACTTTAAAACTACAGATGCTGCACACGGCCCCTCCCCATCAAAGACTCAGTTTTAATGAGATGGGTGGGGCCCAAACACCATAAGTTAAACGCTGTCCAGTATAAATCATCACATTCCTTCTCGGCACAGGCATTGTTACCCGCTCCGTCATGAAAGTCCATAGTAGCAGCGCCGTAGGGATAGAATCTACCAAAACAAAACAAATACACCTAGAACTAATACATTCAACAAGGTTGTAGTGTACAAAACCATTGTACAAAAATTAATTGTATTTCTACATAATAACAACAAAAAAATGGAAAATTACATCACAAAAACCACCATATTAAATAGCATAAACAACATCAAATACCAGGAATGAATTTAATGAAAGAGGCAAGAGTTTTACACCGAAAATCATGCTGAGAGAACTCAAAAACCAAAATAGAGAGTTACATGAGTTCCTGGGTCTGGAATTCTGTATAGTTAAGATGTATTCCAAATTGGTCGTTTGATTCAACACAATCCCTATCAACATTTCAGCACACATTTTGAAGAAACTGATGGGCTGATTTAAGACGTATGTGGAAATGTAAAGAATGTAGAGTGGTCAAAGCAATTTTGTTTGTAAGTTTATTTTTAAGTAATCTCTACACCCAACACGGGGCTTGAACTGATGACCCTGAGATCAAGAGTCACATGTTCTTCTGACTGAGCCAGCCAGGTGCCCCTCAAAACAATTTTGGAAAAGAGCAAAATTGAAGTACTTAGTTCTACCTGACTTCAAACTCACTATAAAGCCACAGTCATCAAAACAGTGTAGTGCTTATGTAAGGACAGACAGTAGATCAATGGAACAGAATAAAGTCCAGATATATACTCACACGTATACAGTCAACTGAGTTTTGACCAAAACACCAATTCAATTCAATGGGGAAAATCATTTTTTTAAACAGAGTATGCTCTATTGAGAAAGGAAAAAAAACAAAAACAAAAAAAAGAAACTCAACCTCCACCTCAGTTTCTACACAAAAATTAAGTCAGTTTGAATCACAGACCTAAACATAAAATTCAGAACCAGAAAGATTCTAGAGGAAAACATCAAAGATATCATCATGACCTTGAGGTAGACAGTATTTTTTGCAATAAGTATCTAAGGAAGAACTTATTGTGAAATATAAAGACTTTTTACAAATTGGCAATAAAAAGACAGGTTGTTTAGGGGCTCCTGGGTGGCTCAGTCAGGGTTGAGCGGCTGCATATTAGTTTCGGCTCAGGTCATGATCCCAGGGTCATGGGATCAAGCCCTGAGTCAGGCCCATGTGGGCCGTCCCCCCAGCCCTCCCCTCTGCTTGGAGCATGGAGTCTGCGTAGGATTCTCTATTGTTCTCCCTCTGCCCCTGCTCTCTCTCTAAAATAAGGGAGCACCTGGGTGGCTCAGTCGGTTAAGCTTCAGACTTCAGCTCAGGTCATGATCTCACGGTTCGTGGGTTCGAGCCCTGTGTTGGGCTCTTGCTCAGAGCCTGGAGCCTGCTTCAGATGCTGTGTCTCCCTCTCTTTCTGCCTCTCCCTTGCTCACGCTGTCTCTCAAAAATAAATAAATGCAAAAAAAAAATTTTTTTTTAATGCACCAAAAGATAGACAGTCACTAAACACAGGAAATGTGCTCAACATAATTAGCCTTCAGAAAAATGCAAATTAAAACCATAATGATCGGGGCGCCTGGGTGGCTCAGTCGGTTAAGCGTCCGACCAGCTCAGGTCACGATCTCGCGGTCTGTGAGTTCGAGCCCCGCATCGGGCTCTGGGCTGACAGCTCAGAGCCTGGAGCCTGCTTCGGATTCTGTGTGTGTCTCTCTCTCTCTCTGCCCCTCCCCCATTCATGCTCTGTCTCTCTCTGTCTCAAAAATAAATAAACGTTAAAAAAAATTTAAAAGGGGCGCCTGGGTGGCGCAGTCGGTTAAGCGTCCGACTTCAGCCAGGTCACGATCTCGCGGTCCGTGAGTTCGAGCCCCACGTCAGGCTCTGGGCTGATGGCTCAGAGCCTGGAGCCTGTTTCCGATTCTGTGTCTCCCTCTCTCTCTGCTCCTCCCCCGTTCATGCTCTGTCTCTCTCTGTCCCAAAAATAAATAAACATTGAAAAAAAATTAAAAAAAAAAAAATTTAAAAAAAAAAACCATAATGATCAATTCACTGTGGTGCATACCTGAAACTAATAGAATATTACACATCAACTCTACTTCAACAACAAAAAAATGCAATTAAAAAAGGCAAACTTCTAAAAACAGGTAATGAGGCCACCATTTAACATCCGTGAGAAGGGCCAAACAAGTAAAAGACTTGGACAGTGTCAACTGGTGAGAATGGAGAGCAGCTGGGGTTGCAGCTGGTGGGAGAGTCAGACAGCACAGTCGATTTGGCGGGTCATCTGGCAGCTTCTCATAAAGTTAAACATACATCTACCTTATGACCCAGCAATTTCACTTCTGGATATTTTACCCGATTCCACTCCCCGCTATTGACTCAAGCACAAGGAAAACATAAAGACTTGTACGTGAATGTTCATAAGCACTTTTATTCATAATTGCCACAAAGCTTGAAACAACCCAAATGAGCCTGGGTGGTTCAGTCAGTTCAGCGTCTGACTTTGGCTCAGGTCATGATCTCACAGTTCGTGAGGTCAAGCCCTGCATCAGGCTCTGTGCTGACAGCTCAGAGCCAGAAGCCTGCTTCAGATTCTATGTCTCCCTTTCTCTCTGCCCCTTCCCCTCTTGTGCTCTGTTTTTCTCTCTCTCTCTTAAAAATAATAAACATTAAAAAAAAATTTTTTTTTAAGGGGGGGCTGATACAGGCAAAAAGCATGAGAGAATTTGAGAAATATTAAGTTCAGTAAAATGGGTATGTTGAGCCAGACACATTAAAAAAAAAAATTCATATTGTGTGATTCCCTTGATGTGAAGTCTGAGAACAAGTCAAACTAATTGATGGTGACAGGAGTCAGAGAATGGCTGTGGGAGACAGAGAGGAATGGGCTTCAGAGGGCCATTGTGTGATGGAAATGTTCAGTACCTTGATTAGCAAACTTCAGTGAGGGCTTCAGATTTGTGTGAGGGCTTAAGATTTGTGCATTTTAGGGGGGTCTGGTTGGCTCAGTCGGTTAAGTGTCTGACTTCAGCTCAGGTCATGATCTCACAGTTTGTGAGTTTGAGCCCCGCATCAGGCTCTGTGCTGATAGCTCAGAGCCTGGAGCCTGCCTCAGATTCTGTCTCCCTCGCTCTCTGCCTCTCCCCCGCTTGCTCTCTCTCTCTCTCTCTGTCTCTCTCTCTCTCAAAAATAAACATTTTAAAAAAAGATTTGTGCATTTCATCATAAGTAAATTATACCTCAACTAAAGAAAAAGTCACATACCTGTGTTTAGGGGGGCCCTGCCAGAGATTGGTGTTTACTGGGAATGTTGGTGGGGCCCAAACAAGGTTGTTTTACAAGAACCCCAGGGACCCTAAAGTGCAGCTACATTATACAGTCTCTAGGCCATACCCTACTGTCTACTCCACTTGGCTGTTTCTCTTTCCTTCATAAAGTCTAGCTGGCTAGGCCGTTAGGCATCGGCTCCAGATACCCCTCATGCCCTCAGAAAATGTAGCCCAGGTCCAACCAAGGTGTGTGTTTGACATTCCAAGAGACTTGCTTGTGGTTGGTAATGAAAAGAATGGCAGTGATAGCTCGGATTTATTGAGCACTTACTATGAGGTTGGCCCTGTGGTATTCGAATGAACACTCACTTAATCTTCAGTGTAATTCAGAAAACTATCTGCCACTGTTAGCTAATACTTTTTACAGGTGAAAAACCTGAAAACCCTGAAGGTGACTTGTTTCAGATCACGCAGCCAGGAACCAGGTCAGAAAGCACTATATCCATCACACTGTCCTTTGCTCTGTCCCTGCTAGCTCTGGCTATTTTAGCAGATGGACAAGCTGCCCCAGAAAGAGCACCAGAGCCAGAAGTGACTGGATGTGGGGCCTGGCATTCCAGCCACACACTTCTAGCTGGGGAATGTTGGTGAGGAACTCAACCTTCCTGAATCCAGGCCTCAGTTTCCCCATCTGTAAAATGGGCATAACACTAGATCTGCATACCACATGAAGCTCTTACAGGGTTAAATGAGAAAGTATTCAGTGGCACAAAATGAAGAGGCCATTGAATCTCAGGAAGACATGGATGGGGGCCCAAAGCCCAAGAAACTCAACTTGGTCACACAGGAAGAATCCAGGTCTCCCACCATGGCTGGAGTCATTCCCACCTGAGCCACCACATCTCTGGCTGAGCCTCCCTTGGCACACCCCTCTAAGCTGTCTCAAGTCGCCCTGTGCCCCCCTTCTGCCTTGTACACCTGCCTCATCCTCATCAGAGACTCAGAGCTGTCACCTTCTGTAGCCACAAGGCTCCTCCCCACAGAGCCCCAAGCTGTCCCTAAGCCAGGTCTCCCCTCAGTGGTCTCCCTCA